CACTATCTTACATATGACAATACTATTTTCGAAAAAAATAACACAACTTTTAAATAGTCATATGTTCATTTGTTTTTTGGCAAGTTGAAGTTAGTTGCCAAAAGGAAGGTTTAATGTTATAAATATTTTGTGAAATTATGTATTTTGTTGCTGTAAGTTCATGACTTTAAGTTTATAAGGTGGGACAGGGATTAAATAGACCTATGAAATCTAAATATGGGAATTGTCTCTATCATTAAATTTCAGGTTAAAATTTTAAAATTCTACTTGAATGAAGACTGAATCAGGCATAATTCTTTACCCAGTTGATAGTAAAGTGTTATTTCCCTGCAATGTTGCTGGTCATTATTATCTCATGGTCAATAAAACCTATGATTCCCTAATAGGACAATTCTGTGCATTGAAGACTTACATTCAAGTTCAGATAGTAATTTGCAATTAATTATACCCCGCTTTAAAAAAGTGGGGGTTATACTGTTATACCTCTGTCCATCCGTCCATCCGTCCCATGAATATTTTTCGTCGCATCTTTCTCATGAACTACTTCATAAGGATTTCTGAAATTTGGTTTCAGGGTTTATATAAGTCAGCTATACCGTGTGATGCATTTTCAGATTCCTGGGGGGCAGGGGTATCATCAGTGAGCAGTAGCTCGCAGTTTACTTGTTTCAGTTGAGTTTTAAAAAAAAGAGTTTTTAAAAAGAAATTTCATATTTTCAGTAATATCTGTTATCACTTTTTATGAATAATATTAAATCTTAGTTGTTCATCAATGAGACAATAACCCAACAATACAAATTGTGTTGAAGTCATTGCAGTCTTCAATTTACCATTAAATTAATTAAGACAGAAATCTACTTCAAACGATTGGGGTATGAACAATATTATGTTGAAGTCCCGACAGTCATCTATCTATAAACATTGAATGAAGAGTGATCTACTTCAAAAGAATTGTTTACATTTAGTTTCCACTTTCCATTGAATTATATCACTACCGGGGTACTTGAATACTGAAGTTGTCACTTGTATATATATTAACCAAGTTATCAACAAATTTCTATTTTCCCTATCAGCTGTTCTGTGGTCTATTTCATATAAATTGAATAATAATAGAATGTAAGGTTTGATATTATTTACACAAATTCTTAATAATTATTAAATGTTTCCTATTGTTGAGGTATAAAGCCATTACCCAGTAAGGACACAAAATCATTGAAGTGAATATTGTATGTATCGTAGTTTTCTGACCTTATAAGTTCAGTTATTAGTGTAGCACCGAGATAGATAGTCATGGAACTAAATAGACACAAGACTGTCAAGGTTTGTTTACAGATAGATATCTGACAGGTCACTTATTTTACTAGAACTTAATGGTGTACTTTCTTTAATTTCTAATTTTGATCTTAAAAATTACATATAGAGTATATAAGATATTGTTTATATTAAAAAAATATAACATGATTAAATTTGCTTCCAATAAATATCTCAAAACATTTTGATTTCTTTCTGTAACTCTACCAATTAGTTAAATTTTTAACCATACAAGATATTTGCATGTCCTTTAACTAGTTTGAAGTGATTACAATTTTAATACTCCTAGGATGGATTTTAAATACATAGAACAAATGAAAGGAAAGGAATTTTGGTAAGGGCAATAGCCATAGTTGTATATTAAGGGTGAAAAAGTGTGTCATTGTGACATTAATTTTGACTTCCCTCTTTTGTCATGTTTGATTCATTGAAAAAAATATATATATTTTGTATTTTTCATTAAATACTGTGGATGTATTATTCGTGGGATACCAATTTTTTTAGATTTCGTATAGGTGAAACACGAATTTAAATATTCAACAAAGTGCAAATTTTCTCAAGGCTTGAATGCAGATTTTGGCAAAACCACAAAATCAAATATCCATGCAAAAACAATTTTTCCTCAATCCACGAAAATAAATGAATCCACAGTAATTAGATTTCATCACTGTGCATTTTTTTCACTGAAAAATACAGGGATTAAACAAATGTACTCATTTCTAATGTGTATTGCTAGGTAAAAAATCAATGTTCATACATACTGGTCATTAATGGCAAAATCCATTCCAAAGATAATTATAGTACAATTTGTGATCTACTGTTTGAAGTCCTGACTCAGGTACAAGCACTTTGCAATTGAAAGTAGGGGGATAAATCATAAATCGGGTTTGTTTTATTTCATAAAATCTTGAAATAGTTGTATATTAAGACAAATACCTACAAATATAATGATTTATTTGTATTAAACTTATAAGACAGAGACCTTATAAAGTTCTAAACACAGCTCTGGTATTGATTAAAGATTCTCTCGTGTCATTTAAGGACTGATGACCTTTTGTAAAATTTCCCTTGCTCTTACAGAATAAAAAGGAAATTGAAAAATAAATCTGTTACATAATTTTCATTCCAGTTTGATAAAAGAACTCTCAGTTGTGCAATTTACATTCAGATAAACCAATATAGGAGAAAATTTACGCTATAACCTTTATCAACATTCATCCTAACATTCACGACTAAATAGTGAACATCCAGTTCTCGGCTTTATCGTATGTATCTTATGTCGGAATTGACATTATAACTGCGTTAACGATGGTAGTAAAATAAACTTTAAATGCGTCAATTAATCAATTAACATAGTAATCTATTTTTTATTTATCTAGTGCTATTATTTGCCTTTATTGGTTTCCCCATATAGAAATATGCAACATATATAGAGAGGTTTCCGTCAATAAATAACACGCTGAGAAGGGTTTAAAATACAGTGACGTAAATTAATTTTACTGTTTACATGCAATATTTGGAATCATTGAATGACGGAATTTCACATTTTGAACATGGAATTAGTAGCTGTCATGCATTTTGATGAAATGGTAAAGTACACTTCTGAGTACAAAATAATTTCCATTGTCAATTATATTTGCCAATTTTGATGGTTGAATTATGATTTGAAAACTTTTACTATTTAATTTTTGCATACACAGAATGAGTATATTTAATATAAAGGAAATTTTCATGACATTTAATATGAATTTCTATTTTTTTTTTTGTGTTTGTGTTAGGTTTTGAGAAATAGTTTTGTTCAACTGAAAATTTGTGTTTCATTGAAGGATTGAATTCTTTGTTTGCTTGAGCCATCAACTAAACCTTACAGGTATAGTGGATAATATTACTCCCGCTAGTATTTGAAAAAAGATTGACTACAATATTGTACTAATATTTTGTCTACTAAAAACTCTCCTTCTTATTCTATCTATTTTTTGGCTTAGTATATTTATCAAAACTACCAAATAGTACTTACAAAATATTATGTCAAATTTGAATTAGGTGTTGTATTGATATATAGTTTCGGTAAGTGAAATGATGATTATGTAAAACAGTTTTTGGAATTATTAATTAACTGATTACGCACTGAGAAATGTGTGATAATTCAAAAAAGTATTTTTTTAAAACGGACAATCTTTACATCCTTGTCCTTTGGTATTTGGTAAATAGTTGTCTCATTGCCAATCATACCACATGTCCTTCCGTTATTTTTGATGTTTGCCAATAAAAAATATTTCTTGTTTAATTCAGACAGAAAACTAATACAATTTGTTTGAAAATTGATTCAAAATATGTACAACAAATTAAAATTTTGAAAAATAATATTACATGCTTTAAGGTGTTCTGTTTCTGTATTCATTTCATTAATTTTTTAGTATTTTGACATTGTTTTATGAGCTACCGGACCCCTTTTCAATACATTTTGAGTGCATATACTATAATTTTTCTTTGTATTATGCAAAGGTGAATACATGAAATTTTAAAAATTGATGAATATTTGATTCCAAATCATATAAAAGCATTGTGTATCACTAAGTAACATAACACACATGAATTTTACATTGTGTAATGATGAAGAATGAAAGTATCCAATGGTTAAATTATTCTTTATGTCTAATCAGTATGAGGAAATTATATTTCCTTTTGAACTAACTTGGATGTTCTTCATTGGTACATGCAAAACATGTCTTTTTATTTATATGAAAACTTCGTGCATTATTGGGCATCTTGTAGTAAATTGTATTAATTTGGAAAAAAATGATTCTAGATTGTAAGACATGATGGATTTAATTGTAATTAATATACCCCCACTCGAATGAGTGTTTTCGAATTTGTCAGACACCTACTTCCTTTTTCTGATGACTTTAATTACTAGTGGGTATCCCCTTTAATTTTGATTACTAGTGGGTATCCCCTATACTTTAATTACTAGTGGGGTATCCCCTATACTTTAATTACTAGTGGGGTATCCCCTATACTTTTAATTACTAGTGGGGTATCCCCTTTACTTTTAATTACTAGTGGGGTATCCCCTATACTTTTAATTACTAGTGGGGTATCCCCTATACTTTAATTACTAGTGGGATATCCCCTATACTTTTAATTACTAGTGGGGTATCCCCTTTACTTTTAATTACTAGTGGGGTATCCCCTATACTTTTAATTACTAGTGGAGTATCCCCTAAACTTTTAATTATTAGTGGGGTATCCCCTATACTTTAATTACTAGTGGGGTATCCCCTTTACTTTTAATTACTAGTGGGGTATCCCCTATACTTTTAATTACTAGTGGAGTATCCCCTCAACTTTTAATTATTAGTGGGGTATCCCCTATACTTTAATTACTAGTGGGGTATCCCCTATACTTTAATTACTAGTGGGGTATCCCCTATACTTTTAATTACTAGTGGGGTATCCCCTATACTTAGTAGGACAGAGCAACTTCTTGTTTGTATTTTAAAAAAGCAAATACTCAGATTATATCATATATAATTATTGTTTATGAAAAGCATGATCTAAACAGTAGCTGGGAATAGTTACGGTTGTAACATTTTGAAAGTTTGATTCTTTCAGATTTATAAATTTGTTATGTCCCCCACATATCTCCACAGAAACAATGCTAATAATATTTGTTTTATCTTTTTCAGGAACCAGTAGGTGACATGGAACAGCTAGAGAAGTTCCAAATTATATTCAACAATCCACTGGCCACATATCATGCTGGCGATACTGTGTTTGGGTATGGATGGATTGTCCTGAAGAATTCCATGTTTGTCCAAAGTAAGTACAACGCTGGATATGGTGATCATAATCAGATGTTAATTTACTTAAAATGACTCAGAATTATACAGATTTAATACACCATTTTAACTCATGATCATCATATTAACTTTAATCATATTCATATTGTATCTATGTGTGAATGCAATTAAAGTTTGTAATTAAATGAATGTCCAACATAAAACAAAGTTAATTTGCCACATGTTGTGAAATTATAGCCGATGAATTTTTTATATACCATTGGAAAGTACTTTTATTGAAGAATATCTGAATTCCATGGCTTGTTGAACAGGGTAAAAAAATCCCTTGAAATCAAGCAAAGCTAAAGTATGGACATAACTCATATAGAAATCTGGAACTATTCCATGATGACTTTTACAACTAAACTGTAATTTCAGAAATTTTTGCAATGTTTTTATCATTTCGACAATTGCAATAGGATGGTTGTTGCAAACAATAAAAATTTGCATTTTAGATATTATTTAAGGAAAATTTCCTGAAATCCCAATAAAATGACACTAATAGTATTAAATCTTGTATTTGTGTCCATTGTTCAAAAATCGGAATAATCATTGCATACAAACATTTCTGCATTTACAGTTATTAAACCAGTTCTTCCATGAAAATGCAAGTCTGGGCCAATAGGCTGGCCTCTAGCTGAATTTTGGACACTGTTCTGGAAAACTGAGTACTAAAATAAATCGAAAATTTGTATTTAGTTTGGAACTTAATTTTGTAGGTTTAAATCAATCATAAAATCCATGAGAATTGACACAACAAACATAATGACAAACTTGAAATTATCATTAATCCTGCTAATCTATAAGAACTCAATAAAATTTTGTTCTATATAGGGTATTGAGTTTTACAATATTTCGAACCACAATTTCTGCAAAAATGTGTTGGTCCTGAAAAAATAGTTATAAATCACTGCAGCCTAATTTGACAGGAATGGAGTGATACAGATAACATTGTGTTAACAGATATTGCCAATTAAGACCTACAGGTTAAAATACTATTTATCTTGGCATTACCTTGTGACCTTCAGAAGAGGCTAGTCTCTCGTCTGTGAAACAAGTCTCATTTTCAAGGATAGCCAATCTATTGAACTATTGGACAAATCTCCATTCATCAGAGAAAATTAATACTGACCAGTTAATGAAGAATGGACATTTGTTTGGGTTCAAATGACTTACAGATAAATATTGTAGATATTGGTTATCTTTCAATACTGTCTATACCATTTATGTACAAAAAAGTCAGCTGTATGATGGCTAAATTACAAACATTTGTAATTTCTTTTTTGCTCCAAGCTATTTTAAAATTTTACACTTTCAGTTGGGGTCAAATTGTAGGTTGTACAGGATGCTGTCAGTTACAGTGATTTTTCATCTTTTGTAATGAATTTTCCATTATTTTTTAATTTGAATTTCTGACCATATATGTAAAATACATGCATATTTATAAATGCATTTAATTGAATTTTATTCTACTTTCCTATTATTGTTAATACCATATTTGGAAAGAACTAAGTTGAAATATAAAAAAAAACTTTCTTGAATTCATCAGGCTGAGATTTTGGAATTTTTTTTTCACTTTGATACTTATTCATATACATAAAATGCAGGTGATGAAATATATAAGTTTGAGCACTGGGTTAATCTTGATGCAGGAATTTTGACTTTTCTCAACTGCATAAATATTGCTTTAGATTGGAACCTTATTTTGCAATGACTTAGATGTCTCTGGATTATGTGTAATCTTTATTTTATGTTACACTACTAGAGATGTAATGTAAATATCATGAGAGGTCATGAAGTCAAAAGAGTATTTCAAGTGATATGGGCTAGTTAACGCTGTAGTATCTTGGTTTTTTAAAAAAACAACAGTAATTTTTAAGCAAAGATATCTAGTGCCAATCACAAGCCCATTACTCATAAATTTAAGATATACCATCATATTAAAAGGTTAAATGAAGTAGCTGTAACAAAGAGAGTTCTCATAGGCGGATCCAGGGGGGGGCCCTGGGGGCATGGGCCCCCCCTTTCGTGGGAAAAATTTGGTTGATTATATAGGGAATCACTGAAGCATGACTGGAGCGGGCCCCCCCCCCCCCCCCCCCCCATAGGTCAGTCAGCGGGCCCCCCCCTTATGAAAAGTTCTGGATCCGCCACTGGTTCTGTAAATTTTCTTTGTATAATGATATTGATAAGGTATATATGCCAATATAAAAAGTACTGGTGTTTAGGGTTTCATTATTAACAGTTTTCGTTATTGGATCATATACTCAAGGTGAAAAAAAGTATACCTGCCTATATATAACTTTTGTAACCTTATTTTTCCTAAGGAGAAAACCCTAGCACATATATTCTTTTGTCTTGCCTTAGTAATAATTTTGTCTCATGAAGAGGTTTATTTCTTTAAAGAAGTCATGAGAATGTTTAACTTGTTTGATCTTCCTAAATGATTCAAAATTATAAGGGCTTAATGTCCATCATTGATAGTACTTAGCAGGCTAATTGTCAATTTTCTTAATCATGAATGTGATTTCTGAGACCATTTTTTAAAACATAGCTGCTTTACAAGTTAAGACTCATTTAAAAGAATTATATAAACACTTATACCAAATTGATAAAAAAAATCTTCTTATATTCTATTACTTGCTAACTGTGATATAATTGGGTCAAATTACACTCAGAATCATGTTAATGCATTTTAGATGAGAATAGTGGTTCTGTAACAAAAATTAAGTTTACACTTAGATTCTAAACACGATTTCATTGGCACTGCAAACCTTATATACTGTGAATGCTTTAAAAGTGAACATTTTCTTATTGTTATCTCAAAATATAAACAAAAGTTAATGATAAAAGTTTGAGTTGAATAAATCAAATAAAAATAATGGCCAATTAACAGAGGTTGGTAGGGTATATACAGATCCACCTTACAAACTTTATCTACATAGAATCTCTTGTTTTGTTCAAATACATGTGATCACTTTTTTGTTCAATTAATGTGATCATTGTTATAAAAAAAATGATTGAAGTTTTTAAATCGAACTTTCTTAATCACTTGTGATAAAATTTGGTATAATTGAAAAGGTTCTTAAAAGATGTTTTTTTTTATGTCATTGGGTTGCTGTTTCATTGACATATTCCACACATCTCCTTTAAGGCTTTTATTCCTCCTTTATAAGAAACAGATGCATTCTAGATATCCTAGTATAAAGCAGTAGGCATACAGAAAAATTGCATTGGCCTTTCTTAGTAATTAGTATAGGGACAGTACAAGCAGGATGTAGTTAATGCCATACCCTGTGTTTAAAAAAACCAGACTTTAAGGAAAGAATTGCCAGCAAAATCATTCCAATTGCCCTAAAAACACACTGCTGGTGAGCTGTACTTTATGTTTAATTGTATCATAAACTCCTATTTGTTTGCTAGAATAATTAACATCATTTTACTTTATTGAAAATTAACTTTGCAGAAATAGGTAAAAATATGAAAGTAAAATTATTGCTGTGCACCTGATAAAGCAGCAGTATGTCTAACACAGTAAAATGATCACAGCGGGAAAGTGCAGGTGCTGAACCGACCTCCTGTCGGCCATTGTTAGATCTAGATCCAAAACCAGAGAAGATGAAACGATGTTGATGCTCAACATTCAGTACATAGACGTGATCTCGTGATCGCAATAAATCACAATTAGTCTAACTACTGCAAATAAAAAAATATGTCTTGTTATAATTTGATGAAACTTGTTTAACAAGGATATCTTTCAGTTAATACCTCTTTTTCCTTCTTTTGAAGCATGGTATTAACAGACAGTCATCAAGTTTTTTCTGCGTTGATTATTCAGCTGTATAAACTTATGTGGCAGTTGTATTCTTTTGAAATAAATCAATTTCAAAAGAGAATAGATTTATACTTTTGTAAATGTACATGGCTGATCTGGTGAATAAACTTGGAAAAAAGCTTCACTCAACATCAGTTCTGTTTTTCTTCATAGTGATTGATTTTGTAGGTAAATTGTTAATTGAATTTTCAGGTTAAAAGCTGTAAAACCTGATAAAAAATATTGTTTTTGGGTTAGTATTCCATTTTTACTGCCAATATCCGATATGTGTCAATATTTCTATAATAGATTCCAGAAATATCAGCCTTCAAAACAGCTACTTTTGATAATTGAGGAAATGTTTTACAATGTGTTTTTTTTCCAATTGATAAAAAAAATATCAGTTATTAGGTCAGTTATTTTTTTATAAAAGTACATTTGTAATTAAACAAATAAGATATCAGGATTAAAAAATTTTTTTTTCCTTTTTTTGAGTGAGAAATCAAATATTTCCATCAGAAAAAGAAACAAAAACATCAACATAACTAGTATTGTTGTGATGAAAAAATAATTAATTGGTTGAAAATTATAAGGATTAAGCACATTTTTTCTAGAGTTATTGACAGTGTAAACTGGGCAAATTAACTTACAAACTGAATAAAAGTTCAAAGGACTTTTATGTAAAATTTGTTACTAAGCAGCCAAGTTTACACATTAAAAATGAGATTATTATCCTTAATTTTTTTAACCCAAACACTTTAAACTTTTTCATTTAAATTTCATTTTTTTTTAACTCAGGATTCCATTCATGTGTATTGTGCATGAATGTATCACAATGAAATGCCATAGTGTTTAGGTACATAGGTGGAATGAAAAATGGGTTTTGTACTGTAATTTAATTAAGAACCTCTAAAATGTCTGTTCTCTGGGGTTTTTTTTGTGTTTCAGGTATGCTGCCTCATTGACATCTCTTTTTATTTATATTTTTTTTAATTTCAGCTGTATGTTTAGAAGCAATAGGTGAAGCAAAGGTAGAATGGATGACATCCAGTGACATCCAGGCTTCAGATGAAGAAGTATTTAACTACACAACTGTCCTTCCTATTAAAGGTAAACACTTTATACAATGGTCAAGAACAAGGCTTTGTTATCTGTTCAACAGAGGAATAATAGTAGTGGAGAAAGACCACTTAAGGACTATATTGTTGGATTATTATTGTAAATGACTAGAATTTGGGGAATTTGAATTTAGCTATCTTTAGTATAATGTGCCTTGATATTAATCACAAACTTTGCTTTATATAAAAATATGTTTGAATTGAAGTGTTATACAGCTTACAGTTTGTTGCTTTTGCAATATTCTGCTATAAAATTTCAAGACTTTCTATTTTTGAGAGCAGCTAGCTGGTTATAAATAGTTTAAAGACAACAGGCGACAGAAAACGAAAGATGAGCAACACTAACCCCTTTAAAAACTAACAATTGACTCTCATGCTCCAGAGGAGTAGACTGTTCCTTCTCCATTTAAGTACTAGGTAACTTCTTAATGTTCATAGCCTCATTTGAAACAAGAGTGATATAACTATTGTTACCATTGGTATTCATCATCCAGATGTTCTCTGAACCTAATTTATAAAATGATAAATTAGTCAAATTAATCTGAAAGATACATTGTTATTTACCATAAACATTAAATCTGATTTAAGTCTTGTAGAATATTTTTCAAATGGCCATATATGTTGCATTCTTCAGTGCAAATTACCTCTCTGAATTTTCCTGGAACCAGAAAGTTTGTCCTTCCTTAATGCTGAAGAAAACTTAATATTTTTCACAATCTAGATCATTGACACTATACTGAAGAAAAAAATAGTTAAATAATGGTGGAATTTCCAAAAGAGATGAAATTACTCGGAAAATCAATAGAAGAGAAATTAAAACTTGGTCAAAATTGAATAATATTTCAAATGTGAAGGTTTGTCCAGGAATTTCCAAGAAAATTTGCGGTCATTTTATGTTCTGTCTGCAGTAAAACTTGATTTGGCTAATTATACAACTTACAAATACAGTATTTATTATTCAATTCCTGTCACCTCCAGGCAGATATAGAAAATAAACCTGTCCTCTTAATTAAAACATCAAAACGATGTTCACTTGCCAATAACATAAAACAATAATAATTCAGCTTGAAATAAAACAGAATTCTAATGTTTTGTTTAAAAATGAGGGTAATATAATATCTAGATGTAAAAGGTTGTGAGTCATTGCTTGTATTTAATGACCAGTCTAAAAGTAAACTCAGGTATCCAATATAAGTTAAAAAGATATGTTAAAAAGCCTCCAAATTTCCTAAACTGGCCCGCCATTCCATCTAAAGCTTCGCACCGAAGTGTTGCAATAAGTGAACACAACAGGGGTCCAGTTTACAAACTTCCTTACAATGGCATGAAGGACTTGAACATAAAATGTTGGAGAATATAAGTTGAGTGATGGTGTACAGTTAGTCTTTTGTACAGGTATTCTTTCCTTCTGGAAGAGATAGATTGGTGTGAAAGTCTTCCCTAAGATATCATTTATAATGGAATAAACAAACTGCTATGATTACAATAAGTGCATTTCTTGTACCAGAAAACCTAAACGCTGGGATGAAATCACCTTACAACATAAGCCTCTCAAATTTCAGAGGTTCTGTATTTCATAACTACATGGCATTAAACTTTCTCTTATGATTCTTCATAATTATTACTATTAATATGAAACATGTAATAGCAAACCATATTGCTTTGAATTCAAAATCTTTAAAAGAATACATTAAATATTGTTAAAATAAAACCTATCCTTTATGAAAATATTATTTCTTAGTATATTAAAACCAAACACTTTATAACAGGGTGAGTAAATAGAGTTAGATTTATAAATGTCTTCAGTTTGATCAGGTAGTTATCATTATAAACTGTCAGATATTACTGAACCATGTAAAATACTGCTATCAAGATTCAACAGCAATGATTGGCACTATATTGGGATTTGACCAAAGTCTGGGGATATTTATTTCATATCTTTACACTTCATTTAAATTGGTTTAGGATTTAATTTGATCTGATCATAAAAATTTAATTGTTTTGATTTGTGATATCTCGCTAATGCTTTGAACCATGTAAATTCTTTCATTTTGTATTTTGATAATTGGAATACATGTTTTAAAGGTTGTGATAGTATAGGTTTGTTGCACATGGCACTCCTGGAGTGGAAAATCATTGAGATGTTGACACCCTTAGACTGGCAAACTTAAAATGCTGTGAATATTAAGATATACTGGATCTATAAGACTTGAAAAATAATGTTTTTATAAGGAAATAGATTTATTGCTTCTTTTCCAAAAAGAAATTTTGAATTAAAACTTATGTGGCATTTTCAATTTGGAACATTACAATGCAATGAATTTAATCATATGTTAGTATTGAAAAGAACATTGTGAGACAAACATTTGTCTTTTTAACTTTGTTAAGGTGGTACCAAACACCTTGACTGAAATTAATTTGGCTCGTTTAATTTTCATAAAATTTTGACAAAATATTTGCTTTGACCCTTTGACAAAAATATAAAAATTTCAAAAAACTTGAACCACACACGACTTTATCGGAAACATTTCATTGGATATATAGCAGTTTGACAAACACTAATTTTGTTCATTGAGAAGCTTAATATTTCCTTAACTATAGAACGTGATTAAAACGTTCAGCTGATTTTTACAGAGTTATCTCCCTGTAGTGTTATGTACCAGCTTAACATGTATTGTGAGCATCCGTGTCACATTTCCTTCTTTATGGTCAAGATTAAGATTTCTAGTCTGAACTGGTAGACACATTAGAACTATAGGATAGTCCATTTTGATGTTTCATGACTGATCATGGAAACAAGTTATTATATTCATCAAAGATTGTCTTCCTTTATCAGATAAACTTCAAAAATACTGATGGCAATAGAAAGAAGACAGTTTGATAATTAGATCATATACTCAGTCAAAATTGATTTAAAAAAAGTAGGATAGGCAAATTGAAGAAAATGATAAAGTAAAAACTGTTTTTTAGCGATATGTTGGTGTTGCAAGCACTGCAAAAAAAAACTGCAAGAATAATTTTGAAAGATATAAAGCTATATCAATTACAAAGTCCTAGTAATATTTTCAGTGTAGAGTGAATTTATTTCTAGATCAGTCCACCCTCTATTTGTAGTCATATTATATGATGATGTACCATTCAAAGACTAGCAAAATCAAGTTCACTTCGGCATTTTTTTATGAAGAAAAGAATAAAACATCCAAGCATAGTTATAAACATAAGCCTCAAATAATCAAAAGTAAGCACAGTTTTTATACATAGACTTATAAAAAGAAATATAAAGCTTGTACTAAAATAAAGAAGATATTCTAAAAAATTCCTGAATTTATTCTTGATGAGAAAAGTAACATGTACTCTTAATTATTAATTTAATTTGGAAAAATGCTTACTTAATTAATATTTTGGCTCACCAAGAATCAGAAATATTGGAAATTAAACCTCAGTTTTGTAATACTGTGGATGGCATTAAGTACAAGCTAATAATTCTAAATCAAACTGGCTCTAGGGGTCATTTCAGTATTCAGTAATATGAGTGTTTGTTATGTGATGAAGACTTTACTGTGAATTTCTATCCAGCTTCAAGGGAAGCACTTCAAAGTCTGCCAATAGTTGCAATAAATATACATTATTTCCTGCCATTAGTTATCTAACAAATGTCTTGATCTGCCCCATGTCATCTAAGTGTTTGCTTTTGTATATGTAACAATTAATTTGATGCAAATTATGACAGTCTTTGTTAGACTTCTTTGGGCATCATGTTTTAGTTTTGTTGATATTACCCACATCTGTGTAAGGTTTCAATGTACAGGTGTGTGTGTTATCTATACAGGCAAAGAATTCCACTCAAAACGATGCTAGCGGTCATCTTGAACTTGCATTGAGGTAGAGCTTTTGCTTTTGCATTGAAAGCCTCACTGAGAGTTTGCAATTTGACAGTTACAACAATATAAACACTGCTCCTTTGCATGATAAGATTTTTTGTCAGGAATTAGTTTATATATAATTTTTTTTTGAGCAGAGAAGGATTATGAGATGGTCCGGTTCTACTTCCACTTTTACATTTAATGTCCGTTTTCCATGAGAGAAGGATACAACAGAGGTTCCTGTTCTTTGACTTTCATTTGACTTTTAATGTTTATTTTTCAGGTGAGAAGGATACATCCGATGGTGCTGTTTTACACTCAGGTTCACATTATTTTCCATTTGAATTCACACTACCACAGAAAGCACCATCATCATTTAAAGGAAAACATGGAAGATTGCGATATTTTGCAAGAATGACAATTTGTACCCCAGGAGGACCCCATCCAACAAGAACAAGCAAGTTTGCTGTGATTGGCTGCTTAGATCTGAACAATGAACCTGATGCTGCTGTAAGTAGTAGATAAGTGATATGTCCAAGTTTTTTACCTTTTTTGATGAAATAAAAGCAGTTTTTATGGATGCATGGTTATTTCCCAAATATTTTTCAAGCGTCTCTACATCCAATTATGTCTTTGCTTCTCCTTTAAGTTGTTTTGTTGATTGTCTTAAGGACATACGATACAGTTTTGATCCCACGGTGATTTTCTTACGAAAATTTGCATACAAGCTATTTTTCACCTAGTCAATTCAAATATGTAATAAAAAAATATACCTTCATGTGCTACTTTAAGAGATAAATGGCGTCGAAATTTTAGACATTTACTCAAAATTTGGGTTTTTTGAACATTTCTACCCTTTTGATAGACATACCTAACGTTTTTGTTTCAAAATATAAACAAAAGCAGATTTTTGAAAAAAACATTTGGGAAATCTTTAAATAAGTATGCCCTAAATTTGTATAAAAATTCTTTTGAAATAATTAATTTTTATCAAAGTTTTATGATTTAAGAAAAAAACGGCATTATTTGTTGTATATTTATCTAATTTAAAAAAGTTTCATCTGTGACTTTTTCATAAAAATTGGTACAAATAATCTTCATACTTAATCAAACCTAATGTCATTTTAAAAAAGAGGGGTCCATGAACTCGTTTTCAAGTTAAATCAGTCTGATTGATAAAAATCAGTCGAAAAATGCATCTTTACCCGATATGTCACAGTTTTACGTCGCAAAAATAACATTTTACGTTAGCAACATCATAACCTCCTCTGTAACTGTATTGTATGCCCTTAAACAAGCAAGCATGTGTATCATATATAAACTATCTTTCAAATAGTAATCTGTATATCATGGGTCAAATGTCTATAGAACATCCATTCCCTATCAGGTATATTCATCTTAGATGAGCAAGTCAGGAGACAAGGGTTGAACAGTCTTATAAATCCAACAAAAATACAAAAATTCTTATAAGGAAGATTGTTTTGTTGTAAAAATTTCAAAGAAATTAATAAGGGGAAAAAAAATGTTTGCACATATTCCAACAGTCCAATTTTCATTATAAGAAAAATTTCATCTTTGCAAAATTCAGATGATAAGAGAAAAGGTAAAATATAAGATTTATTGTTAAACTTCATATAATAATTTGACAAAACTTGCTGATAACACCACTGAATTTACTCTGTAACATGACAAACCTATGCAACTGGTAAAGTTTAAGGCCTGGCAGCACTAAATGTCTTAGATTTAAATGCATTTTGAGTTTAAAAAATAAAAATAAAAATATATTTTGACATTCATATTTTTTCATCAGTGCTGAAGATGGTAAAATAAACAAGACATGGCCACTTAGTTACTATTGATGTGCAGATATCTATTTTTCCTCTATTTATTTTCTATATCGATCAATACAATACAAACATGTATTACATGTGGCGAACATCTCAAAGATTTTACCCAATTTAGCTTATTTTTACACCTTCTATAGCAACAGAAAAAAAAATGGCAATCAAATTCAATTTTAATACACTGAATCTGGATTTGTGGAGCAGCCATATGGTTGCTCAGCACTTTAAAATAAAAACGTTGTTTTGAGAAAAATTTTAATGCAGTGTTAGGAATAATAAAAGTGCAATGCATTCAAAAATCTAAAATATCTTATTAGTTTTATACCTCACGAAAAGCCCTAATTTTATTAACTTCCTGATTTTTGCAAGCATTAACATTAATTCATGTAGATTTTAAGACTATTTTTTTTATTGAAGTGAACTTCAATCTGTGGTATAAGTTTCTTTTGAGATAATGCAGGTCTGACATCGTTTTTTCAATACACTGATTTCAGAACATTGTATTACAACAATCAATACGTTGGGAATGTAGTGTCAACATTAGAAATTAACTTGTTCACAATATCGGAATTCCAGCGAGCCACAAGTTTTAACAATCTGTTACATTGTAAAATGTGTGTTCAGTAAAGCAATTAATTTGCTATTTCTTAATATTCCATTAAGGTCATGTTAGCAAAAGCTCTATTTGTTGTCAAAAAGACCTTTATAATTATGTTTAATTCTTATTTAATTGTATTGTAATGTTTTACTAGTGTTAGGTGTTTTATTTGGAATCAATATACAGTATTCGAGGATTATTGTAAAGAGTTAGTTTTTGCTACAGTAGCAACATATCAACTGTGTTTTGATCAGCCAGGTGTCTCTTGTGTTTTTTTGCTGCCTCATTCACATTATACCCCACATCCCTTTTCTCATATTTAGTTAGATGTAAACCAAAAATAGAAATGTAAAGTCACAAAGCAACCAACCACAAAGACCACCACAAAAAAAAATACCCCCAAAAATAATAATAATAAATGAAATAACAAATATACAGCTAACTGGAAAGTTTTATTTATATTGCAAACATCAACTCTTATGTGAAAGCAGAAAAATTAATTAAAAATTGCCATGGAAAATACAACTCAACCTGAACGCTGTCAATATAAAAGTTCTTTAAATGGAAATATTTCATATAATTGTACCCATGTAAGGATTGGATTATGACCAATTGTGTTTGTATAACTTCAGTACCCAGTAGAGAATGATACATTTGAAACAGTTGGATCATTTTGTTGTATTGCTGGTACAGTAACAGCTTCCATTAGATTGGAGAAGAAAGGCTTTGCTCTCAGAGATGCCATACCAGTGTACGCAGAAATAAAAAACCTCAGCACAAGACGAATATCACACACACATGTTTCATTAATACAGGTGAGTGCAGGTGATTTAGTGATGCCATTGGAGTGAAAAACATCTTGACTGAATATGCATAATTTATAAATGATTATTAAAAGGAATTTTTACCTGACATATGCATGATTAGATTAACATGCACTTTAAATTCTATCACATTCTGAACACTATCTGAATTCATGCATGAAAATAAGCATACAAGCTGAATCCAACCACATCCAACCACAATGATAAACATATAAGCTGAATCTAACCACAAATGATAAACATACAAGTTGAATCCAACCACAATGATAAACATACAAGCTGAATCCCACCATAATGATAAACATACAAGCTGAATCTAACCACAAATGATAAACATATAAGCTGAATCTAACCACAAATGATAAACATATAAGCTGAATCTAACCACAAATGATAAACATACAAGCTGAATCTAACCACAAATGATAAACATGCAAGCTGAATCCAACCACAATGATGAACATGCAAGCTGAATCCAACCACAATGATTAACATATAAGCTGAATCTAACCACAATGATTACCTACAAGCTGAATCTAACCACAATGCTAAACATACAAGCTGAATCTAACCACAATGATAAACATGCAAGCTGAATCCAACCACAATGATAAACATGCAAGCTCAATCCAACTATACAATAATAAACAAATCCAACCACAGTGATAAACATACAAGCTACTTCCAACCACAATGATAAGCATGCAAGCTGAATCCAACCACAAGGATAAACATACAAGCTACTTCCAACTACAATGATAAACATGCAAACTGAATACAACTACGAAACATGCAAGCTAAATCCAACTACGATGATAAACATGCAAGCTAAATCCAACTACGATGATAAACATGCAAGCTAAAGCTAAATCCAACTACGATGATAAACATGCAAGCTAAATCCAACTACGATGATAAACATGCAAGCTAAATCCAACTACGATGATAAACATGCAAGCTAAATCCAACTACGATGATAAACATGCAAGCTAAATCCAACTACGATGATAAGCATGCAAGCTAAATCCAACTATGATGATAAGCATGCAAGCTAAATCCAACTACAATGATAAACATGCAAGCTAAATCCTACTACGAAACATGCAAGCTAAATCCAACTACGATGATAAATATGCAATCTGAATCCAACTACGATGATAAACATGCAATCTGAATCCAACTACAATGAAAGAATGAATGATTTATGAATGAATACTTAATTGCAGAAAGCATCACATATGCTATGGCACTAAAAACATATTTACAACATGAAAAATGATAAACAACAGAGAGCAATACATAAAATACATAATAAGATATCAAATTAAGAAATAATTGACTGTGCAGATATTATGAAATTACACAATTGCTTTGAAAGTAAAACAGAAGTTAAGTTAAATAAATATACTGTTATTTAGTAGTGTTTGGCCAAGAACAATAACATTTTGGCAAATGATAAACATGCAGATGGAATCCAACTACAATAATAAATATGCAAGCTTAGTCCAGCTACAATGTCAATGATAAACATGCAAGCTGATCTAATCTCAATAATGAAAGGATTGCATTGATATCTGAATGTATGAGCATCCTTATGTCAACTGTAATAAAAGTAATCATCTTTGAAAGTTTCTTTTTATATCATTTATAACTTTCTTGACTCAGGATGATAAAAGTTTAACAATTTGTTAAGACACCTGTCTATTGTTGTATGTTTGACCTGTAGATGTTTTTTTTTTTAATTTTTTTTGTTTGTCATTTGGTTGCTGTCTCATATACCTGATGCAATAAAACAGATCAACAACACACATGATTAACAAACATGCATTATTATAATCATTAAATGATGTGGCTAGCTGTTAAACCAATTGGATAGATAAAAAAACACAGCTCCAACTTAGATAGTACTAAAAAATAACTTTATCAAAGAATTGTCAGTCTTACTGAAACAAGTTCAATGTACCTGATATACAAACCCTGCTTACATATGCTGTTCTCAGTCAGGAAGAAGGGGGGATGTTTCTGGAAGATCAACCAGTAACATGCGGATTCAAAGCAACAGTAAATGTCTATAGTTTCATTCCTTTCATAAACAGTAATCAAATCTTGATTTTAATGTGAAGTTGTCACTAGTCTATACACTCCATATTCTTTTTCCCAAATCAAATCAAAGCTAACCGATTGTATTTCATTGACTAATTATTTTCAACAAATTCGAAAAAACACAATGGCCAAAATTGAAAATGAATTAATACTTTACATTGGAATTCAATGTTGTATTAGTGAATTTTTTAATATAATTTCCTATTGATAGGGCTGATGTCCTGACAAGTTCTGTAAGATATTGACCTTGATATAATACCCAAAAGATTTGGAATATTGATCATCTAGGAGCAATCCAATTGTAAATGCATGTAATTCCAAAATTACGTAACAAAGGTTGATAAGTTTAATCTTATTCCATCAAATAACTATTCTAGTTTTCTCTGTACAACTGTGGTAATTTATTATTTTACAATACAAATCCAATTTTCCTTCAGGTTGCACTGAATTTCTTTGATTTTGTTCTTTTTTCTAAATATTTTTTTTTTGTTGATACATTTATAGTGCTTCCTTAATGAATTTTCGGAAACTGGAATAGTTTTTGAGTTGTTTGTCCAACCATTAACATTAAATTGTTTGGATACTGTAAGAGAATGTACCTAATTGAATCTCAGAAGTCAAAGGTCAAGCACTGTGGATTCATAAATCATAGTGGGTACCAATTTTCGTGGATTGAGGGAAATTTGTATTTTCATGGATATTTGATTTCGTGGTTTTGCAGAAGTCTACATACAAGTCTATTGAAAAATTATACTTCTTTGAACATTTTAGTTTGGGATCCACGTTTATCCATGAAATCCACGAAAATTGGTATTCAACGAATAATAATGAATCCACAGTATTCACATCCTCTTTTAAGTGTAATGTACAGCATTACACATGTGATTGAATTAATTGGTATATGGTCATCATTTAAGAACTGAAAGACTCAATTAAATTGAGACTGACAGAAGTTATTATATGTGAGAACTCAGTAGACTAAATGGTTGAAAAATTACAATCAAATCTTATATTATATTAAATAAAACTCTTTTATTTTCTGATTAAATGTAAATGTCAAGGTCAGAATTCTTGATCAGCTGTCAATCTTTATTATTTGTCAGTGTGTTTCTTTTTTGGATCTTCTGAATATGCATGAAATATTTTCCACTGGACATTAAGCAAACATCAATCAATCTTTTTTGGATGAATCGCTTGTTGACTGATGGCTCAGTCATATTTGGTGTCAAATATACCTCAGCCATGGACTGTTTTCTGCTCTTTAGTCGGGTTGTTGTCTCTTTGACACATTCCTGTTTCAATTCTCTGTTCTATTCAGGAAGTCATGTTAACTTTTGATGAATTAATTTAGGCATAATTCATACCACTAACTTGTATAGGATAGTTGACTCCTCTATGTCTCAGATTCAATGATAAGATCATATTTCATGTTACTGTGAGAATTATATAAGCATCATTAGTGAAGTAATTGCTGGTACATACATGCTATATAGTTTTATATTTTTGCAAATTGAACATAGCAGTTGACAATACCGGTAACATAGAGAGCTAAATGTTACACATGTATTTCTTGAATATGTTAGTATTTTCATTGAATGCAGTTTTTCTGTTAAAACAGAAACAAGAATGTTACAAATTGACTGTATCCCCCACAGTAAAACTATAACAACCTTTAATTACAATTAAGTATGAACATTATTTTGGCAACAGTTGGGAAGGTTTTTTTATGTAATTCATAGTATTGCAGTATTGATTCCTGTAGTTTTCTACCAGAAGACCTTTATTGGTTATACTCAGTAAACCTAAAGCACTACTACTCTGTGAACCTACAGAAGCCACAGCACTAAGGTTTAATACACTATAAAACTGTAATCAAATATACAGCCATGTGTCTCAGTTTATAAACGGTCTGCATTACCATGTTGATATGTATAAATAACAGTAATATTCTAATAAAATGAAGTGATTTAGAGCTTGACATGTGGTATGGACAATTGTTGATCATCGATGTATAGACATGTGGTATGGACACTTGTTGATCATCGATGTATAGACATGTGGTATGGACACTTGTTGATCATCGATGTATAGACATGTGGTATGGACACTTGTTGATCATCGATGTATAGACATGTGGTATGGACACTTGTTGATCATTGATGTATAGACATGTAGTATGGACACTTGTTGATCATCGATGTATAGACATGTGGTATGGACACTTGTTGATCATCGATGTATAGACATGTGGTATGGACACTTGTTGATCATTGATGTATAGACATGTAGTATGGACACTTGTTGATCATCGATGTATAGACATGTGGTATAGACACTTGTTGATCATCGATGTATAGACATGTGGTATGGACACTTGTTGATCATCGATGTATAGACATGTGGTATAGACACTTGTTGATCATCGATGTATAGACATGTCTTTTTGAGAGTTTATCATGTGTTGTCTTATTGATTAATAGTAACCCCACATCTCCTTTTATTAGCATGTGTAAGTCCCTGAGTTTGAAATTTCTCACCCCCACCCCCCGCGATATACTTGCCTGTTTAGTCATTTCAATGCCAATTTATTTGGTCTACTCATTCTTTCACTCTGAATCTACCATTTGATAATGTTCTCTTATATCAAAAATTCACAAATATATGTTGTTGTAGCATTTTTTTTATACAAAATATTTGCTATTGTTGACAAGGTATTGTTTGTCCCCCGCGTAACACATTGCGGGGGACATGGAAATAACGGGCGTGTGTCTGTCCGGTCTTGTTAGCGCTCTCACGGGTACAATTCTTGCTAGATTTTTTTCAAACTTATACTATAGGTTAATATCAGCAATATCTCGAACAATTTCTATAATGGTGGACGATCGCCT